CCGACCCCCCCGCGACAGGCCAGCGTCACCGGGCAGGGAGACAGAGGTGAGCAGGGTGTGATCGACGGGCCAAGCAGCAGGCCACGGGGCAGCCTGGAGACAAGCCAGCACGTCACCCAAACCCCAGCACCCACAGAGAGCTCCTCACCTGCTTTAACGCGGATATTCGGGCTCCTGATTTTGCCAGCCGAGTTCTCCGCGGTGCAGAAGTAGTCGTTGTCGTGGATAAAGCTATTGAAGGCTGATGGCGAGAAGGGGTAGAGCTGCAAAGTCCCATTGGCATGGACGTGCCGGATGTGGGGCACATCGTAGATGTCGTCGCCCGTGGCCAGGTACCACCGAAGGACGGCGCTGGGTGACCCTGCTGCCGGGCAGGGGATCACCACCCCCACTGTGCTGGAGAAGGTGACCTGCTGGATAGAGTCGTTCACAAAGTAGAGGCTGGTTCCAACATCTTCAGCATGTGCTGTGGAGAAAGCAGAGGCCACAACGGCGAGGGGGTTACTGCAGGAATCACCAACCCTGCCCGGCCCCGGCGCAGCATCAATGCACTAGCTGGCGGCACAGAGCCACCTTCACAGGCCAGCGCTCTCGCCGGCAGCACGGATCAGGGACTGTGGGCACCCACCCAGGACAGCTAGGGGCTCTGCAAGCAAGGAAGGGCACCCAGGGTGTCCCCCCAGGGCTTCCCTGGGTGGCTCTGAACACGCAGCCCAACAGTGTCTCAGCACCCACAGGCCTGAGGCCACCCATGTGCAACAACAGCAACAAGCTGAGCACAACAGACCGACCGCGGCCGTCCTGCGAGCCCCCGGGTCCCCCAGCCTGGAGCAGCAGGCAGGCAGCACCCCCGGGCCCCAGCGGCTCCCTGCGCAGCCCCAGCCCACGGCTGCCCCTCGGCAATGCCCACACATCCAGCACAAGCCTCCCCAAAGCAGGGAGGAGAGCTTCCCGCTACCCTACCCTGCCTCCGATCACAGGAGGGGGCAGGAAAGCCCCCCAGCGCCCAGACACGCAGAGTTCACAGGCATGACCCGGGGCAGAGCCTGCAGCCGCCTGGATGGCCGGGAGCAGCTCCCAGGGCAGCGTGAGTGCGGCAGAAAAGCTCTTTCCGTCTTCGAAATGAGGGAAGGGACCTCTTCACCCAACTCCTCCAGTCTCTCCTTCCCGCTCTCCAGGACCACGAGCTCCCCCTTCTCCACCGAAGCAAGCAAGATTGGCTATAAATAAGGATGAGGAGGCCCCCAGTCACTTAGATCCGCTTTCTTTTTTTAGTCGCACTCTTCCCAAGTGGGCGGAAGGACAGGGATGCAGAAAGCGGCCCTCGGCGGGTGTATTAATAGCTCTGGCTGAGAACACGGCTCGTGGTGCCGCAGAGCCAATAAGCAGATCACTACCGTGCCGCCGGTTCAAAACGAGTCACGGGGGACCCTCCGTGACCTCGATTTCTTAACTTGGGGAGGAGGGGACAGGAGCAGGGGGGAGAAGGGAAGCCTCCTCTGTACAGTTAGCCTTGCCTCGGCTCAGAAGGCAAGCGTGCCGCGGTGGCTCGCCTGAGGAAGGGCCGGTTGAGTGTCACTGGCCACTGGCCACGGGCACTCGCGTCTCCCCACGCAGCTTCCTCCAGCACCCAGCGGCGGCAAGCACGTGCCCTCCTGGTTCGCGTTGTGCCACCAACCTGCTCCAGCCATCCTCAACCAGGTCAGGATGGGAAACACCAAAACACCTCACGCCTTCCAGAGCAGAGCCCTCTCCGTCCTTCTTCAGCCGGACGCACAACCTTGTGCCTCTTTCAGCACCCATAAAATCACTGGCCAGAGCACCTGGTTATTGCTCTCTGTGTACTCTGCACTGAATCCTCACCTAAAATGACAAAGTTTCCTCCTTTGCCTACTCAGAGCCCTACCAGTCCCACGTTGGGGGCAATGCACAGCCAGAGCCGCCCACCAAAGCCATTCACGTAATGGATTAGCCAACAAGCAAGGTCCAGCGTTGACACCACATGAGACAACAGTTCTACAGGTCAAAAAAGCACCTCCCTATCTCCACACACAGAGGCAGAAGTAGGCAAAGCCATTTATTTTTCCCTCCCTCACTGACAGGTGCCAGAAGAACGACGGACCAGAGGAGCAAAGCGCTCCGGCCGAGCCTCCCGCACAGCGGTGCCAGGCTCTGCAGGGCTACGGGGCCACTGCAGGGCCCCGCAGATGTCATTCTGTGACATCTCCAGGCTGGTTTGTCGTCATGAATCAGCATTTCCCTTCATCAGAACGGCGCGGTGCTTCTCCCAAATACATGAAAGAGAAAAAATGCACATTTGCAGGCAGAGGAAGGAAAACAAAGCACGCGCGAGCAGCAGCGAGCTATTTGTGGCAACGCCTGTCGCCTGAGCACAGCAGAAGATGGCTGGAGCCAGGGCAGGCGGCGTGCAGGGCACGCAGCGAGAGCCACCCTGCGCCCGCCTGCCGGTGCTGGGCCAGCAAGGCTCCGTGGTGCTCAGACCCCAGCGGCCGCCCGGCCGGGCCCCAGGCTCCATCCAGCACCCAGAGCACGGCTTGAGAAGGCTCCTGCCGTCCTAAAGATCGGAGAGCATCCACGGCCTGACGGGGAAATATCTTCTGCCCAAGCAGCGCCCAGGAAGGTTTGGAGATGGACAGGCGAGGGGCTGGGGTGAAGAGTGGAAAAATACCTCATAAACAGAGAAATTCAGATTACCCGTAAAGCTTTTTCAGGTCAAAGGGGGAAACGGATTTTTCGTAGAAAATGGAAGTTATGGGATTGGCAGTAGTTATGTGACAGACGCATAGAGTTAAATCCATATAATCTCCTTTACCATTTAGCATCGAGCACCATCCTAATTCCACCTTCCATAAAACTGTCTCCAAATCACCGAGAGATTAAAAATTTAGAAATAGCGCCGCAATATTTTTAAACCAGAAATCACTGCTCACATCTGGTCAGATGTGCTGACCCTAACCTAAATACCGAGGGCATTAATTCACATGAACCTGAACAGAGGAGGCTAGAGGAGCCAAAATGGAACAGGATCTGCTGGGGAAAATGCAGCGACGCAGGCGCACAGCACCAGCCCTGGAGACCAGCCGCCGGTAGCTGGAAGCTGACAAAGCCCAGCGCGCAGCCGGACACTGTCTGCCGGGCTCTGAGAGGCTGGTATCTTAAGGTATCAGAGTGCAATCTTCTTAAAGTGTAGTAAATTACAACCTAGAGGTAGTGAAATATTAATATCTCTATCCGAGCCGGGAGAAGCAAGTCCTTTTGCTATCATTCCTTTGGAATATTTACTCGTCTCGACCGCTGGACTTTCCAAACTCCAGCCCCGTCCGCGGCACGGCCCAGCTCGGCGCTGCACCGCGCACGGAGCGCTCGTCTGCTCTAACCAGCGCCCAAGGCCGCGCGGCCAGAACCCCACCCCAGCACCTGCCCAAGCCCCGCGGCTCGGGAGGAGGCGGCCGCGATGTAGGTGTGAGCCCTGCACGGGCTGACACCTCGGCCTGTGCGAGCACAGAAACACCGGGCGAGCGAGGCAGCCCCTCCGCTCCTCCACACCTCCCCGGGGAGAGCCCGTCCTCTCCCGTGAAGGGGACTGAGGACTGGTCTGGCAGTGACCAGCTTCGTGCCAGCGCGATTCGAGAGTCCTTTCTCCAAGCAAAGAAGCTGCTTCTGCCCCCCGACACACGCGCATCGTCGGTGTCAGCAAGCTGCCTGCCCGGGACCCCGCAGCCGGTCCCCTGCCCACCCAACCCAGGGAGTTTCTCAGAGCCCAACACGGTCTTTTGCACACCAGTGACCGGCTGGAAACCCAGCAGAGGTGGGAAAAGGCTACACAAGCTGCATTTCAAGGGTGTTCATGCTGTGCACGGGCAGGTGCTACTCGACCTCACACCATCCCACCAGCAGCACCTTTCCCCAGACCTCCCTGCTGGGCCCAGCAGTCCCCAGCCCGCCCGGGTGCCCAGCCACCCTCCTCCGGGGCCAGGCGAGCTGCGGCCCAGGCCCCCCCACCAGCAGGAAGCCCACCCGCTGGCCAGCAAAGGGGCTGGAAGGAGCCACCGGGGCTTCTCCGGCCACCAGCTGGAACGGGCTGCAGGGATGCTGCGAAGAACAGCAGGCTAATCACCACCTCACCGCTCATTTATTATCCTCATTAAGGGTGTTTGACACCTGCCCTGTTCAAGGAGAAAGTGAACCGAAGCTGGGCACGCATTGCAGGGTGGGAATTACAGGTAGGTGGCAAGTCTTAATCTTTCCTCTCTACTGCCTTGAGAGCCGACAGTAATTCCGTCACACGCTGCCTGCACATTTATAACGCTGGAGACGCCTTTGGCCTTCCCTGGAACGAGCCTCCTTCAAGCCCTCATCACCGGGACACTTCTAACAGCCTTCCTCCTAATGAAGGGAGTGACCTTGGAGCTGACAGAGCGAGAAGTGGCATCTCCGAGCGTCACGGAAGGGACAGGGAGCAAAGCGGCTGAGCCGAGGCCAGAAGCACGAGGCTGGGACCCGGTCGAGCAGAGCATGACAGCCGCACACCCCCCACCCCCCCCGCCAGGAGCGCAGCGCAGCCACCCCAAAGGGTTAAAGCTCTGAGCGGCCTTCCCCACGCTGCGCCCCACCAGTCTCAGGAGGGTGGAAATTGTGCCACAAAACGCGGAGCAGGGCCTGGGGCGCTCAGCTGGTGCCTGGCACAGCGATGGCAGGTCCCTGCCCAGCACGTCCCCTGCCCCGGCACCGCGTTTTGGCCCAGGCGTGGGCACAGCCCCCCGGCCGGAGCACCGCGCTCGCCCCCGACTCGCAGCCGCCGTCCCAGCAAACCGAAGAGGGAGCCAAGGCGAACGCTGCCTCTGGTCCTCTGCGGGGAAGGGCACGGCTCAAACCCCCTCGGAGCTCGAGCTGCCCGCTTCTTAATGCATCTGCACGGAAATTAAGGCCTGAACCACCTCCAGCTATTACGACAGCACCCAGGCTGAGCCTGTAACCCTTGCCTGGAAAAAAAAAGAAAAAGCTCTCCCCGCTGAGTTGCCTGGCCCCTGAACCTCCCACACCAGCTTGCCGGAGGTACCAGTCTCACCACCCCACCCACACCAGGGCTGACCCAGAGCTGGACACCCCCCAGCTCTGCGCCACCTCCCGAGCCCCCCACCCTGCCCGAGCTCCCCTCAGGAGCCCTCAGCTCTGGGGGGCGAGGAACGAGCCCAAGGACTGCACGCAACGGCCTGTCCCTCCCCTCCCACGGCCCACCTGCACAGCTCAGCCACGCTGGACACGAAGCCCGAGGAGCTGCAGCCGAACCCCAAGGGGACACCTCGCCACGAGCCAGGGTGACAGCAAGGCCCCCCCGGGGAGGCCGGTACGAGGGGCGGGCAAGGGGACGCACCAGAGGCCGCACATGCCTGCTGCCGGGCTTCCCGCCGGTCCGCGCCGCAGCCCGCGCGCTCGCTCTACGAGGCGGAGACGGGAATTTCCACCACGGGGCGACAGGTACGAGAAACGAGGGGAACGGATCAATCGAGCAAGCTCCGGCAGCCCGCTCGCCTCTTCCCCTCAGCACTGCGCTCGCTCCCTTCTCTCCCAGAGAGAAGCCGGCAGAGCCATTTCCAAGAGGCAGCAGCTGGGGCAGGCGGCAAGCGTTAGCCAGAGTTGGGAAATGGATTTCCTAAATATTTGGTACAGCTCTGCTGGCAGATGATGGCGGCAATGTGCAGATTGTGTGTGATGGGGTTTATTTCCTAAGGATCTACAAGCAGGGAAAAGGGTAATTCACAAAATCACGGTTATGTAAAAACATGTAGCTGGCTATAATCTAGATTTCAAAGACAAGAAACACTCTGCACCCAAACCTGCCACTGCACAAGCCTCCCAGCAAAGCACGCGTCGCAGCGACCGCAAGAACCGCACACCTTCCTCCTTCGTGCCCTCCTAGGAAGTGGCGCCTATTAACACTCTGCTTCTCGGGGCGCGAGATGACTTCATGTTATCCCAGGCAGAGCTCGCAGCCCCCGTGCTGCCATCTCGGAGGGATTCCTGCCACAAAGAGCGGCTTCCAGTTCTGTTCTGGCGCTCGGCGCGGCAGAGCGGGCAGTCCCTCGGCCTCGGCCCTGCCGGCGGGGACCGGAGCGCCACACCGAAGGGCCCAGCGCCCTGGTTGCCCGAAGCAGAGCCCCCGGCTCGGGGAGGAGAGCTCAACAGCACAGCCCTGGCACTCGCCCCTCGCGCCCGGCACAGCCTGGTCCTCCGGAGAGCAAAAGCACCAGGAAATACGAGGGTAGCCCCATCCCAATTTCCTCACCCCAAGGCAGGAGCAGCCCCGAGCCCACACCAGGCGCAGGTAAAGGCTGTGGGCAAGTCGCCGCCGCGGCTCCTCGCGCCGGGAAATCTGGGCTAGCTGCAGGATAAACAAACCCCGGGCACGGCGAGGAGTTCAGCACTGCAGGCTTCTCCTCCGTGCATTTAATGAGGTTTCCATGTTTCATTTCAGAGACAAACGAGTGCTGTGCCACACTGGGGGGCCGAGATGGGGAGAGATTAAAAAACGCAAGCTGCATAGTTCACTGCACCCAATACAGGAACATAATGTAAATATAATGCCAATATAAATCAGGCGGCGGAGAGATCCAGCGAGAACACGCAGGGAGATGCTTTCCCGGCTCCAAGCCGCTCAATTTTGCCCGGTCTGCTCTTCATCACACCGTTCACCCCTCGCCTCCCCTCCTCCTCTGCCTGGCTGCTTTCACTCACGCTGCCAGACCGTCTTTCTGCTCAAGTCCCCGTTCATTCACTCGCCAACCACCTATTTTTGCTTATGTTATAGGCAGGGGGGAAAACAAGCAGCTACAGCCCATCGAGGGATTTCTAAACTTCAGTGGTCCCCTGGATCAAATGTCTATTTGCTTTCAGTTTCTACTTGAGCTCTCGCTCTCCAGCAGGAACACGTTAAAAGGATGTGCTTCGATGCCCAGAAATATTAAGCATCTGAGAGGTTTATCATGCATTAAGCAATTCTTTTTTTTTTTATCCTATTATTATAATGAAACTTCCATTGTATTGCTGTCCTCTCTTTGGAACCATTTCACTTTAACACTTTCCATCGCCAGGACTGTTCAACACTGAAGATACATTTTATTTCTTAAAAAAAAAAAAAAAAAAAAAGGCCACAAGGAGTTGTGCTAATGGAGGCTTTTAATTTGCTCTTCTCCGAAGAGATAGCTCTGTGGGAAGAGACCCCTTTTCCAAGATGCTGGGGCTGAAAACATGCAAAAGCAATAAAACCGGTGCAGCTCTTTATTTATTTGGACTACCGGGAGGGGGGAAGAAATCGCAGCATCCTCGACGGTTATTTGTTTTCACGTTTGTTTTTTTCCTTTTAGCCCAGTAAAAAATGCAAATGTAAGCAAAGCAGACGCTGGCACGTTCAGCTCAGCAGATCCTAAACACAAAAGCGATTTTGGGTAAAGCTCCCCAACGCAGCTTTTACTCCAGCTCAAATCAAGAAGCTATTCCGTAATTAATAATTGATGGAATAAACTGATCGTCACCACACAACCGGACAGGATGCCCTCTTAAACCTGGGTAAATATTTTTCGTCGGATTAACGTTCAGATAACTGGGTAACATAAGAGGCAGCAAGCGGAGTAAGGAGGCAGCTCTGTCCCCTTTCTTTCGCTTTCCTCATTTCCTAAAATTTCCCCCTTGCTGTTCTC